CCCCACTCCACCCCCTTATAGCTCCTCCTTCATCCTGTCGGGGGCCGGGGGGGGGGGTGTTAACAGTTATCATTTGAATTTCCAAAAGAACTATCCTTTTTTCTGATCTGCCTGATCAATTTTCATGGTCTCCTTTTGCCTGAAAATTTAGGGTTCCATTTTTTGTGTTTATACATTTCAAGCATAGTTACTTTAAATTAGGTATCTGTAATCCTTTTACTGTCCTGTTTCCTTTGTGATTAGTGTCTTTGGTATTGAGTTCACATGTGGTCAGTCTTTGTGGAATGATTTCCTTGCAAGGACATGCCAGGAGCCTAGGAGGCTCTACAAAGACAGGGCCCATGTCCCCTTCCCATCCTGATTGCTTGGTTGGGGGGGGGAGTCACTCGAGGTTCTCTCTCCCACCTTATTATGACCACCTTGTTTGTCATGCCACCAAAGGTGTTTGCCCCTTAGGGTGGTGCTTACTTGTAGGCATTTAGCTCTCAGTGCTCACTGTTCTGGTGTCTGAATTCCTGGGGCCTCGGGGAGGGGGAGAGAGGGTAGGCTGGGAGATTGGGCTGTCGGTACGATAAAAGTACATTTTGTGGAGAAGCCCTGCACATGTCTGTCCACCATATTGCAGGGCAGTATGGTTAGCAGAGTGTGTGGAAGCCATGCCCAGGTTTTTGCTCCCCTGGGAAGAGCCTGGCACACAGTCATCACATGATAAACTCCAAGCCAGAGCCAGGGAAGCAGTCAGCTGAGGGCCAGAAGTAAGGGATGCAGAGAACCCTGCAGAGCAGGGAGTTCGGTAAACAATGCTGTAACTAATGAGATGGCCATGGGAAGAGAGGAGAAGGTGGGATCTGGGTGATTTTGAAGGGTTATGGCAGTTTGGTTTCATGCATGGTAATTAGATGTAAGGACAAAATATTTAAAGAGTATCTGTGGGCATTTTTTAAATTCCACAAATGATTAGATCTGGGGGTCAGAGCTACAGATCTGAGAATTGTCCACATATATCAAAAATGACTGTCTATGTTTTGGAAGGAAATGAACCCTCAGAAGTGGTGAGGGGTTGGGGAAGCCATGAACTAAACCTGGGGTATATATTCACTGGTGGTCGGCAAAGGAGGGCTGGGGAGGAGGAGAAGAAGCTGTGATTTATAAGCTAGAAAGAAAATCCTGAGCCTGGCAAAGCAATGGCCAGCGTGCTGAGCTGCAGCCCCCCCTTCCCTTAGGGCAGACATTGCTAGTTGAGCGTAGCACTCATTCTCAGAAGCCTGACGCCAGCCTTGGGACCCTCCACACAGAGGCCTGGCTGCTGCTCAAAGCTATCTGTTACAAAAAAGTTGAAAAACTGTCCTGCGTCCCTCCCGTAACGAGTAGAAAGGGCCTACAGGTCATCTCTGAGAAGCTGAATTTCCTCCAGGCTCCCTCTGAAGAGGACACACAACAGGGGATTAACTTCTCAAGGGTATGACGTCCCAAAGTTGGTTGTTCATCTGCAGATAGCTCCGACAGGGAGAGAATCTTCTGCAAGTACAAACAGGAATGTTGGGTGGTATAGAATACGCTAGAAAAGGAAACTTGTGTCCAGTATAAGTAGCTGGAGAAGACAAGTGGTGGGATTGACTTTGGAAGTGATGGAAAAGCCCCAGAGGAGATGTAGCAAGAGTTCCATTTGGATATTTGCAAGAAATGAAGTCCGATGTTCCTGTAACTGCTTAACTGTGTTTATTCCCACAAGCAGATTTGGCATACACAGGTAAGTTCTCTTTACATAATTAATGGGACAAAGCCAGACTCTACTCCAGCAGTTGAATCTGAAAGTCTGGGCTTTGCACGAGCTATGACGAGTGTTTCAGTGGAGAACTCTCCATAACAGCTAAAACAAAACAAAAAGTATTAGTGCCCCTGTGCCACAGACCCCATCAGTGTGTGCCCCTGCACCACAGACCCCCATCAGTGTTCTCACTGCTTTGTGCTGAATCATCTGAGGTTATGCGTGCACTCGTGCCCCCTAGACGATGTCTCCTGCGTGCCTGAACCCTTGCCCCCCTCGTGGAGCCTGGCAGTCACACACCCGAGGTGTCATCAGTGGAAAGCAAGCTCAGTTCTTTCCCTTTGTTCCAGGGGAGGTAGCCAGTGATTCTGGCTAGAAAGCTTTGTGGCAGACCAGTGATGCATAAATTTAACTGAGAAACTAGTGGTTATAATATTTTTTCCCCTGATAGGTTCAAAAAATCCTGATCAGGGGGAACTTTTGTGGTGCATTTGAATTTCACAGATTAAGACAAGTGTGAGCCTATTGGGTAGATGTAATCAACAGTTGTCACATTGCACCGTGAATTAGCAAGTTTTTCCCAGTGGCCTGACTATGACTTAAGTTGTTCTTTCTTATCTCGCCTACCAGTTCACTGGGGTGGTTTTGCATAACGTACATGAATTCAGGATACTATCTTACAGAATTCAGTATAGAAGAGATTGTAATTTATAATGTTAGGACATTAAACCCTGTGGATCAAGAAGCTAGACTTTTAAGAATCCACAGATGTAGTATCTCAGCCAATAATTGCAAGGTACAGTTGTGGGTCAGTCATGGGAGACCTATTTGAAAATCACAGTGAGGTTTTGGGTTTGTTTTTGTTGTTGTTGTTGTTGTTTTAAGATTTTAGTTACTCATTTAGAGAGAGGGAGAGGCAGAGAGAGAATCCCAAACAGACTCCACACTGAGCCAGGCCTGACATGGGACTCGATCCCAGGACCCCGAGACCATGACCCCAGCCCAAATGAAGAGTTGGACACTCAGCCGACTGAGCCACCCAGGCGCCCCCACAGCTAGTTTTTAAGATGAAAATCCCAACAAGGCCGTCCGTGTCCAAGGGCATCCGGGGTGGAGGGGGAACAGACCCCCTGCCTTCCTCCCCCTCCACCCTGTTCCATAGCAGATCACTTCTCTCTTCTGTGTAAGCACAGGGGTCATTTGTTCTCCAGCTCAAGAGCACGGTAGATGGGGGTAGGATTTCTGATGCCCCCTCACTTCTGAACTCTCAATCACCATCTCTCCAGAACTCAAGTCAGAGAGAGTTAGGAAGTGTGGCATGCTCGCCTACCACACAGGCAAGCATAAGACAGCCCCCACCCAGACCCCTGCGTCCTGCGATGCCTTCCAGAGGCCCTGCCCTTGCCCCTGAAGGGGCATACCCTTCAGCCCTTTCCCCGAGCTCTGCCAGTCTTCTCCACAGGAAGCCCAGCTTTTGGCCCCTCTTGGTGGGAGGGGCTTCAGTTCAGCCAGGGCCATGCCTGACCTGCACTTGGCACCCGCATCCCACAATGCACTGCATCACAGGAGCTTTGAACAGTGCCAGGAAGCCGGTGGGAGCACTGGACCCTCTTGTCAGACAGATGTCCGTCGCGTTACCTGAGACCGGGTGCATTTATAGAAGGCCTTCAGCAGTGGCTTGGCCCGTGGACATACCCACCTGCTCTCCTTCCAGTGCTATTCAGAGTTGGTTCCAGCTCCCCGGGGGACTGAGTTCTAAAATGGAACATGGAGCACAATACCGTTATCATCAGAATGCGTATAGATGCTGTGTAAATGTGGCGTAGCCTTGTTTCCAAGGCAGTTCGAGCTCCTTTAGGGAAGTGGTTGCCCAGAGCTGGCTGTGCATTAAGAACGTTCCGGTTCCTGGGATCGGGTGGGAGGGGTCTGTCCACCACAGTGGCCAAGGCTGCTCCTCTCCTGAGACAGGGAAGCAGGGAAGGATATGATGTGCAGGATATCCTCCTCGTCTCAGGGCTGAGGGATTCCAGGGAGGCAGGGCTCTGGGAGAACAGCCTCGAGAAGGGCAGGACTGACCTGCGCAGCAGGGAACTGGGCAAAGGTCAGGGGCTGGAGGTCAGGGGCTGGGAGGGCTGCTCCGGAGCCGAGAGTGTGGAAGATCGGGGCTTGGTGTGGTGGATGTGCCTACATGCAGGTGACAGTGGCCACCTAGGCAGTAGTCTGCTGGGCAGGTCTCAGTGGTTCTCAGTATGACTAACAGCTGCTCACAGGGCGATTGTAACACAGCTGCTTCACAGTCCAGTGCCTGCAAACTACAGTTCAAATGAGACGTCGTGACTAAAACTCGAGCTCGAGATCTCTCCGTGGTTGTTGGTAACTCATCATGCTGCTTTTATGTGGTGCCCCTTCCGTCTCCGTGGCAGTAGCGGGGCTAGACAGGAACAGAGAGTCTCCCGTGGCCCAGGCTGTGTCAGCCTCAATGGCACATGTCACTGAGCCAATATGTAACACTGTGGAGCGGGCGGCCTTTCCCCGCAGGTTAAGGGTACGGAAGTGAGCCTCGGAGGAGTCAAGAATCTGTCCACAGAGCCCACCATGGCAAGTGGTAGAGCATGATTTGATTGCAGGTCCCACCCTTCCCTATGCAGATGGTCACCCCAGTCGCAGCCGTGATGTCGCCTCAAATCACCTGGAGTCCCACTCACTTTCCAGGCGGGAGACAATGGAATGAAAGCCTTCTTCACTGAAACCGGTCTCCTGCCGATAAAGAGCAGAAACCCCCAGGTGTCCCCGTTTGCCGTTGGTCAGTCTGTGGATCTTCACGCAGGTGCCTAAGAGAAATCAAGACTCGACCCTGAGATCAATGCCATTAACTGAATTTTCACTCCCACAGATCTCTCAATGGTGCAGTGAGTGACCATGTTATTTTCCTGAGTGGCTTCCTCTGTGCCCAACACAGAGACCCGGACATCACACACTGATTTTCATTTTTCCTCATCCCCCGAGCACTGATTGAAACCCGGCTAAACCATGCTGGCTTTAGGAACCAAATCTTGCGTGTTTGGAGGTCTGTGGATTCAGATCTCCGCTGTGCAGTCGGGCCGTCCTGTGTGCGCCGCCAGCCCCATGCAGGCGCGATTGAACCCAAAGGCACTTTTATGACCGAGGACGGGCAGAGGGGCTGCGATCTCATGAAAGCTAAACTCTTCATCCCCACCACTCTGTGTTTCAGAACAAGAGGAAAACTTTGAGTTTATCATTGTGTCCCTCACTGGCCAGACGTGGCACTTTGAAGCCACCACATATGAAGAGCGAGATGCGTGGGTCCAAGCCATCGAGAGCCAGATCCTAGCCAGCTTACAGTCATGTGAGAGCAGCAAGAATAAGGTAAGACCCTTAGCAGGCTGCCCCCCGAAATCAAGAGCCACTGATCGTTAAAGGGAAGTGGAGGCCCAGAGGAATGCCCAAGGGAGGGGAAGCATCATATGATGTGTGTGACTGACAGAAGCCACTTATTCTTCCGGAGTGAAAAGCTAAATAATTGAAAAGAATGAAAAAACACTTTGTGTCGATACGTATCCAGTATGAGTATCCTAGCCTAGCCATGTTCCTGTGACAGAACATCCCATTTTACATCTTGACTCTCTCAACTAATCCCAAAAAGAAAGCATTGACCTTTTTGTGGTGGGTGATGAGATCTTTTAAACTCTTGTGGCTTATGCATTGACATTTACTTTGTTTTAGGCAGAATACACTCAGGAGAGGAGAGGGAGACTTAAAAGATGCACTGTTCTCTTCTCACAAATGCACAAAATTCAAACCCATGTCAAGCTAGAACACTGACTCTTGCTGCGGAAGTAAAGGAAAACAAAAGGCGCGTAGATGAGTCTGTAGGGCATCGGGCTGGAGGTGGGGGGTGGTGGACAGCGTCCATTCTGTAAACTGCTGATGAAGGCCGCTGTGTGCTTTATTCAGTCATCAGAGGTGATTCTTTGCAGTTGCTTAGCCAGAAAAACAAAACAAAACAAAAAACTGTAAGCTGCGTTTCCTAGACCACTGCTGGGGATGTTCCCATTATGGCTTTTTTCTCAGTCGTTGCTTCGGTAGGGTAGATGCTCTCAACCCCTTTTCTGGGACATTATAAAGTCTCGAAGAACATTTTGATTTTTTAAACTATGATCAACCAGAAAAGGAGAGAAAGAGCATTGCCCACCAACCTGCCCCCTCCGTTTGTGACCATTTGAAGAAACCTCTGCGCCTGATCCCTGCTCAGCTTAAGAAGGGAGTCTGTCTTTCAGAAAGGTGGAGTGTCTTACCTTATTACCCTCTTTAACCAGGATAAACCAGACCACAGCCATTGTTACTATAATGTAATTTGCTTCTCCTCTTTAAAGATGTTTTATACCAGGGTGGGGAGGATCACTGCCTTTCCTTTCCGAGAACCTTGGCTTTACTGACTCACATCCACAGATGGGGCTTCTGAAGCAAATGCAAGGAAGCTTCTGGATCTCCTCATGGACGGGGATTGACGACACATATCACACACAAAACATGGGACTCTAGTTTCAGAACAGGAGTGGGGAGAGCGTGTGGTCAAACAGACAAACACATCCTCCAAATCTTATACACGATCATGGTATCTTACGTCAGACTCGAATCCATGCCACACTCTCCAGATTCAGGAAGACCTACATCTCCTGTCTCCTGTTTCCATGTCACGCCCTTGCTGGACTCTTCCCAGCTCTTTGGGAGAACAGACAGCATCACTCTGCGCATGACACAAACACCTGCCTACAATACTGTCCCCTTTCCCTCTGTCTACCAGCGCTCTCCCTTGGAGGACTCATGAGCACCAGGGAAGACAGACTCCTACCTGTTCCCCTGGGTGTTTGCTGAGTAGGTGTCAAAGTCTACATCCAAGGAGAAGCTGCAGGGAAAACACTCACAAATGAGTATGAAGTCTAAGGAATTTTTGGCTGCTTGTGGATAATGCAGGCATGGGCATACATATGCTGTAAGAGTCAGACAGGTAGACAGACAGACACATCCCTTTGTGTGCACATACTCCGGAAGCCAACATAAGTTGTTAAGTACACTTTGGATACTGGGGTATCCAACCAAAGGGGAAAAAATCTTAATAGTGCAGTTATGCTGATTAGATAATAGATACAAATAAATTATAATTTATGTTAGTAAGCAGTCGGTTGTTCCACATCGAACAGTTTGACATGAGGTGATTCAGTTTGTGAATTCTGACATAAAAATCCAGCTTATTTTAAGTATCCTCTGATACTTGTTGCGTTTAACCATTATTAAATGATACGCATTGTTAGCCTTTAGAAACAGTACCTGTCCTGGGGTGCCCGGCTGGCTCAGTCAGTAGAGCCTGCAACTTTTGATCTTGGGGTCATGAGTTCGAGTCCCATGTTGGGCATGGGTTTACTTAAAAAATAACAATAATAAAGTTAGCTTAAAAATAGTACATACCCTTGTACCTAGCACCTCTGCTTCCAAAAATTTGCCATCAGTAAGTAATGACGAATGTAGGCAAAATTTTAGCAATAAGTGAGTTCTTTACAGCACTATTTACAGTGGAGAAAAATTGGAAACCACCTAAATGTGCACCAAAGAAAACTTCAGAAAGAAATTCTTATAAGTGGCATGAGATGCAGCCACTCAAAATGATGACATGGGAGAACGCAAGGTGGCATTGAGAAGTGACCCCGTGTCTTTAGGCTAAAAGCACAGGTTCCAAAGCAATACAGGCTGGCCTTTTTTTTAAAGTACATGTATGTATACAGGTGTGCTTTTGAAAACAGGTTCGAAGAATAGATATCATAGTGTTGCTAAAACTGAAGCATGGATGATCACATCAAAGCTTATAAATTCTTAAGTTGTTCTTTTCTCCCTCGGGTATTTCTTTAACTTGTAGAGAGAAGAGGGTTAAGTATCAGTTTAAGAACCAGTGGCCCTCCTTGCCCTCCACCCTCCTTAGTGACTTTGTTGCTAGAGCAACTGAGATACTGTTAATGTGAAAAGTGCATCTCTAAAGCATGAAGTGTGGTGTGGACGTGGTTTCCTGCTGAGGAATCATGAGATGTGTCTCGTGGTGCTGATTAAGCCCTGACCCATGGCTCATAAGCAGATTCTCTCCCCTTCTTCCATCTTCAGAGCAAGCAGACCCGACAGGGCATGCTAACCACTTCCATCCCCCAGGTGGCGGTTGGTCTGTGTTCACTCACGAATGATCCAGAACTTACCTCTGTCCTCATTCCCAGCAGAGTCCCCTCGTCTAACAGGTCTTAACGCAGGGCACACAGCGTTCTCTGGCAGTCATGCTTTTCCCCAAAGACCTAAGAAGAGGAGCGGCTGCTTCAGACCGTCCTCATCCTAAATCTGCTGACACACAGTTTGGCTTTGCCCCGATGTTGCCAGGCGCTGTGCCAGTGTCTCCCGGGCTTCTCACCTCTTGGCTTTTTTTCCTCTATGCCCAGTCCCGACTGACGAGCCAGAGTGAGGCCATGGCCTTGCAGTCGATACGAAATATCCGCGGGAACTCCCACTGCGTGGACTGCGAGACCCAGAGTAAGTCTGGGCGGGGGAAGGCACACAGGAGGCGGGGCGGTCTGGTGACACCCAGGGCACAGTGGACCCATGTCAGTCCTTTGGCACATAAGGTTTATGATGTGACGTGATGACTTTTAAAGAACTGAAATACTCGTGTTTGGATTTTATTTGAACACAGTACCCTGCACTCAAGCCTAGGTTTGCCTTCTGCCTCAGGCTTCCTGATGAGCAGTGGTCAGGCCAGCCAGGGGTTCGGCTGTGCGCCCAGATTCGGTGCCATATCCAGAAATTAACCTTTTGCTCCATCAGTGATCATATACTTGTTTGCTTTTTCATAAAAATGCAGCACAATTGTTAATTCCTGCCCAAAGATTTCTGGGGTCGGTTTTTTTAAATTTCAAAATCATATGTTCTGGATTTTGGCATCAAAGGTGTTTATTTTTTTAATGTGAAAGTTACTGTACACTAAAGCCTCTGATTGAACGGATAGACTTCATTTTGATTGCTTCGTGCCTTGGAGTGACCCAGTTTTACTTTGTGCTTCCTGCTGTCCAGCACAGAATACAAGGTTTTGACAAGAGGGAGATCCAGTTGAGACCAAGTGAAAGTCACTGTCCCCAGGCTCAAGTGTCACCTGGGAATCAGAGGCATGTGATGTGGTCCTGGAGCCCAAGCCCAGTGGGCGAGGCAGAACCCAGAGACCACAGAACCTGCCACCGTGGAGAAGGGCTATTACAGGGCACACAGCAACTCAGGAAGACTTTCTGCAGGAGTTAGTGTTTCGAGGGGCATTGGAAACTCGTAGGATCTGAACAGGTGGCTGGAGGGGTCATGGCATCAGGGAAGCAGTGAGACATGCACCTGCTGCTCAGGTTGGAGGCTTGTTGGAGCCAAGGAAGGTGAGGATGCTAAGTGGGGAGAGGTGAGGATAATGGAGTGGGTGGAGGGTGAGGATGCTAAGTGTGTTGGAGGTGAGGATGCTAAGTGTGTTGAAGGTAAGGATGCTAAGTGGGTTGGAGGTGATGATGCCAAGGTGGGGGAGGTGAGGATGCTGGACTGCGGGAGGTGAGGATGCTAAGTAGGTTGGAGGTGAGGATGTTAAGTTGGGGGAGGTGAGGATACTAAATGGGTTGGTACTGAGGATGCTAAGTGGCAGGGAGGTGAGTAGGTGTACGTGCTAAGTGGTGGGGAGGTGAGGATGCTGGAGTGGGGGGAGGTGTAGGTGCTAAGTGGTGGGGAGGTGAGGACAGTGGAGTGGGGGGAGGTGTAGGTGCTAAGTGGTGGGGAGGTGAGGATGCTGGAGTTGGGGGAGGTGAGGATGCTAAGTGGAGAACGTTAGAGCCTTTATCTTCATCTGTAAACACTGGAAACTCCTTTGAGTTTCAGAGCAGGAGTGAGATGAATTCTAAGCTGTTCTCGGGGAGATTGGCCTGGCCGTCCCATCTCCTGTGGATTGGAACAGAGCGGTAAAGGGAGGAGGAGGCCGCTCTCGGGGATGGTCACGTAAACAGGAGGAGGTAGGCACTAACTCAGGTTGTTAGATGAAAGGGAAGTGGGGAACCCCTCTGAGAAGCCACTGTGCTGTAGGGCAGGAGCAGGAAGGGTCACCAGGCCCATGTCTCTGGTCCCCAGGGGAGAGAATGGGTCTCTTCTTCAGGTGTCTTGACAAACTTCTCTAAAGTATCTTCTTTTGTTTAAAGTTTTGAATTTTACTTTCAAAATGTATTGTGAAAGAAGTTATAAGAGAGTACTTATTAAGTGTGTAAGTGTGTTTTTATCAGAAAGTTGTTAAAGTAAGAATTTTTAAAGCTGTTAGAGCCTCCATTAGGAGAAGCATCTACAACTGTTTCCACCATACAGCCGGAGTCCCTTAGGGACGATTCCGTGGCTCACAGGCTTCATGGTATGAGCCACACTGGAGGTCAAGAGTCCCTTCTGGGAGCAGGTAGGTTGCTCGAGTGCTGAGGTGTGGGGTCAGGGGCGTGGAGCAGTGGGGAAGGGAGACTCCTAAGCAGATATGCAGGGATGAAGGGAGCGGGAAGAGGCCAAGGGTGACAAGTCCAGAGAAAAAAGAGATCACAAGCTCCCATTCCTTAAACACTTTGTCTCCTTCAGGCCTGTGCCAAACCCGCCAGTGCGCTCTCTTTCAGTTCTTATGACTGTGAATGTTGGTGCTGCGGTCAGCCCCAGTTACAGGGGAGGAGACGGGAGTCTGAAGGGGGAGTTATGTATCCAATTCTATATCCTGGGCCACAGAAAGAGTAAGCGGAGCTCGTTGCCTCCCTGCTGTATATTTTCAGAGAATAAGATGGGGGGACAGAGATCAAGGACACCAGAAGGGGACACTTTAGCAAAGACTTTTTGTTTTTAAATCAAGATACCCAGTTTTGGAGAAAGTGCTGGGAAAGGCCCCACCCCACACCCACACACTGATGATGACCTGTAAAAGCTCCCTGAGCACTTTGGCAATGTACCTAACAAGCCTCAGGCAGGTGGACGCCCTGCACTCCAGCTGTGTCCTCCCGGGACCAAGCCCATGCAAATGCACAAAAGGCGTAGAAATGTCGCCCAAATGTCGCTTCACAGGTGTCCATCACTGCGCTATTGGCAGAGTAAAGAACCAGAGCGCCCCAATGTGCAAGACTTGAAGAACAATTCATGGTGACATCTGCTCAGTGCAGTAATATGTGCAAACTTAAAGAGTGATGGTAAAAATTAATAAAGTTATATAAAAAAAATACATATTAATTGAGATGGAGAAACTTTATAATGCATTGGAAATGACAAAGAACTTAGGCAGTAAGTCAAGGAAACCGTAGTGAATCATTTCAGGAATTTAGGCAGAAAAGATCTGTAAGGATGCACTCCAGAACGTGGACCCCACCTCTTTCTGGAAGTGGTAGGGCGTGGTGATATGGGTCGTCTAATTGTTGTAGAATGGGCACTTGTGTCTTAGGAAATTGGATGTTGAGTAGCCTGTATTTCAGTGTGTGCAAGTACACGCACACATTTGTCAGTGTGTCAAACTTTAAATGTAAGGTCATTTACATTGGTCAAACATGAAATGGTCAAACATTAAATGTAAGGAGAGGCTCTGTTTTCTGGGTGTTGAAGAAACGGGGTCAAGAAGAGGTTGCTGCTTTCTACAGGGCCCCAGAGAGCCTGATTTCACCCAGGGACCTGGTCCTGCCTGCATCTTCCCAGGGAGGGCACAGGACACCTCTGCAGCCCCCAGCATCACAGCTAAGAGGTCATCCCTCATGCTTCTAGAGGATTCTGGCAGGAGGGGGTGGGCCTGCCAGGCCACAAACGTAGGGGATGCTTCCTTGGGTTCCAGTGGGATCGAGGCTTCTCTGTTTTGCTGCTGAAGCCAAAACACAGGAAACCGTGTCCTGCCCTCTGCCTACAGGTCCTGGGAACTGGGTCCAGTTTTTGGTCCTTCTTACTGATTAAAGGTCTTTCTCTTTTTTTTTGTTTTCTGGTTTTGTTTTGGTTTGGTTTGGTTTGGTTTTTTGAGAAAGACATTGGGAATAAGAAAATGACTTTTTAGAGTCCCAGATGGCTTGGTGTTCTCTGCGGAGAGAGGATCAAGTTAGGGGAGAGTGGCTGCTCTCTCGGCCACGATGGGCAGCATGCTAGTAGAACAAAGGACACACTCCTGTCCTCCACAGCGTTGCTGGGGACAGAGACGGCAGTTGGCTCCAGCACCAGCCATGAGGGAATTAGCCGATAAAGGAAGCATTCCAACCCCAAGAGTTGTTTTTCATAGAAAGTACGTAAGTAGACTGTTCAATGAACAGAAGCAAGAGAGAGTCTTGTGCATTTCTTCCACGTAAATATGCACAGATAAAAAATAAGTTGACTGTGATTGAAGTGGGTGGTAGTTCCAAAGATTTTCTTTCCTTGTCCTTTGTACTTGACACCTGTCTTTAAACAAGCCCAGTACTGTTATCATTTTAAAGGTATCTTTAGAGAGGCTTGCGGGGGACTTGAAGGTGTGGCCCACCCATTGGCTTTCTGTCCACCTGAGAGCAGGGCCCTTTGCTTTGTGGTCCTGTGTCTGGGGATCATGTGGGAGGAACTCTGGGCTCCAGGTGCCACAGACACCTCTCTGGATGATTCCCCTGGCTTGTGAACACCCCCCTCCCAGTTCAGTTGTGTCCTCTTGGGGCTGGGGGGAGTAGGGCTTGACCATTTCCATGACATGTGGGATTTGGAGCTGTTGGACCCCACCCCACCCACCCACCCATCGTTCTTCCTGAGAATGTGCCAGATAGCCGGGAGCAGCTTGTCTACACCTGGTAAACTCCAGACCAGGCTGTGAGCTTCCTTAGTTCAGGGGGCCCATCGGTGGAGGGAGGCAGTGCTCCAGTGAGTTTGGAGAACTGTAGCAGCTGTCCCTCGAGGAGCTGCAGCCTTCAGCCATCCGTGCTTCTGGGAAGTCCTACCATAAAGATAAGGAACATGGCCCAGACCGATCAGACGGTGGGAATCTTTGTTCAGGGAACCTGCTGCCATCTCTCCACCGGGAACATGTTCGGGAAAGTCCATCCTCCAGAGCCCTTGGGAACCCAAGAGCTTAGAGCCCTGGCATGGTGGCTGCCACGAGGCCTGACCTGCATGGACAGACCCGTAGAGGCGATGCAGCCTTTCCACCGCTCCAAGACCCCTCGTCCATGATGACGCCCTCCTACTCTTCCTGGGCAGAGCTGATCCCTCTCTCGGGCTGGTCCCCGCTGCCCTGGATGGCAATTAGGGGCGTGAACTCCTCCCACCATGTTGTAGTGATGTTGGGAGCAGCTTTGCCGGCGTCCCACTGGACGTCTGGGACCCTGTCTTATGTATCTTTATGGACCCCAGACCTGCACACAGTAGGGGACTCTACTCCCCTCTCCCTTCCCCAGTCTCTAGACGTCCCAGCAAAACCCGTAGTGGGAGCACATCAGCCTCTCACTTCTGTTGCTTGCTTTCTCCAATAGGCATAAAAAGAAACTGCAGATTATATAACTATATATTTTTAAATTACAAACAAATTATGCAGTTATATCTGTAAAGACATCCTTGGGGCTTTGCCCACATGTTCCCTCAGAGAAGCCTTCCCCAACCACCACTGGGTTGAAATGACACACGTGGGTCCATCTTACTCTTTCCCTAGCCGGGTTTTCTCATAACACACACTTCCCTGACACCTGGTATGTTTTTCCTGTCTGTTCCCTGTTGGTCTGCCCCATGGAATCGAAGGCCTTCGCTTAACCCTCAGGACAGGCCCCACGGGGAATGAGCATCATTAGCCTCGTATCCCAAGTGAGGCCTACAGCGCAGAAGACGCTTCAAGGGGCAGGTGGGCAGGAGGGTTTGTGCCTCCAGGCTGGTGGGGTCACTGCCCTGAGACACTGGAGATAATCCAGAGCTTTAAGGCCATGCTGGACTCGCCTGTAGGCCTGATGTGGCAGCCCAGGCTGCAGCGCCCGGAGGCATCCTGGTGGGAGTGAGTTGTGTGACTCAGCAGTGTCCCTGGCAATGTGGGGATGCTGACAGCTGTCAACACCTTCTCACCTATTGGGACAGAGGTGAGGCTATCCCCCCCACCCCCTTCGGCCCAGTGCCCGTGTCCCTGCAGCCACTGGTCTTCCTGAGGTGATGGAAGGTCATAGCAACACTTCACCTGCCCACACCAGCTCCCACCGGCCGCTCTCAGTATTTCTGATTTCCGTGGAGATCTGCATGCAGTCTTTGAAATGTGTCCTGCGTGTGCCATCCTCCAGGGGATACCGCACCAGGCTGGTCTCGGAAGCTTGGAGGGGGAGGGGCTAAGGCGGCACTCTATGGAGTTCCAAACCAGGGGTTGGGGTCATCGGGGTCCTATGCCCATGGGGTAACTCAGAATGGTTGCAGAGGTGGGTGGAGCTTGGCGCCTACTGAGGGGATCTTTCCACAGTCCAAGTGAGTGGCACAGGGGCAGCGGGGACAGAATGTAGAGCTTTCACCCGCTGTGTACCATGATAGGTGGGGGTGGGCACCTGGGCCTCGTGGCATCCTAGTGCGTGGGCCCCACCTCCCGCCAGCCCTGGGGAGGGGGCCTCTGCTCTAGTTGGGCTATTCCTTCATTTGCCTGGAACTGGCTCCCTGAGGTGGGCTCTGCGGAGTCGTGAACGCGAAGAGTTTGGTACCCCTGGCTCTGCCCGACACAGGGTGGGTTTTGCAACATGAGGCACATGTGTGTGAAGGTCTCCCAGGAGCAGCTGGAAGGCTCCCATGAGGAGGTGAGCTGTGTGCTGAGGCCAGCAGGAAGAGACGGTGGCCAAGCAGAGGGGCGCAGTGTGTGGGGGTCAGGGAACTGAAGGGCTCCTGAGAGACACACGCACAAAGACAGGCTCACTTCTGATCCTGCTGGTCGGGATTGTGGGTCGGATCCAAAGGCCAGAACGCCAGTTGAGAAGGGGCAGGATATGGTCAGATGCACCGAGGAGGCCACAGGCCAACATGTAGAACACAGGCTGTGGGGCATTGGAAGGCGAGACCCCAGATGGGAGGCCGCTGCGTCCTGGTGGTGATGTTGGCATGCACCAGGGCGGGAGCAGTGGAGACAAGGAGGAGATGAACATCAAGACTGAAGTACTTGGTGATGGGCTGAGGGGTGATGGAAGGATCAGGCTCGATTCCCAGAATTCCAACTTGAATAACTGGATGAATCTGTGCCATTGGCTGGGATGGAGCTGTCCCTTGGAGGAGACGATGTTCAAGGGCAAAATGTCGATGGGGAGGTACTTGCAAGATTTCCAAGTGCAAATGTATGGTGGGCATTACAGGTTCTATTCGAGAGAGAAGCATATCCATGTTCACTCCTGAGGTTGGCGGTGTCTGTGGATAGTTGTTAGCAGTTGGATCATACTGGGATCCACAGGTTAGGTAGAGTTTGCTTGGAAGAGCGTGTAGAATCAAGAAATGAGCCTGCAGAGTCCCCTTAAATAAAGGACAGGTTCAGGAGGAAGAATTGGGAAGGAAATCAAGTTGGGGATCCAGACAGGTGCTAGAAAAATCCAGAGATGGCATTGACCAAAAAGCCGTCTAAAGGCAGTGTTATAAGAAGTTTCCAGAGGTCAAGTAAAATGATGGCTGAACACCATCCTGATCTTGCCCGTCCTGATGACACTGACTGCCCAGCTCCAAGGGGAAGTTGGGGGTGGGGGGCCAGGCTGGGATTGAGAGGTACAGACTCAGAGGTGGCCAGTACAGGAGTTGGGCTATGAAGGGGCACAGCGGGGGTGTTCCGCAAACTGTTCACCACCCCACCCTCTTCTCTCACCACCCCACAGGGCCCAGGCCAGCCCTCCACCATGTAGCCTACCCTCCGGCAACTGCTACGGCCGACCTCTTCCTTCCATGCCGCCTATGCATTTATTCCTCCAACTCTACTCTTCAGCGTGTAGTTTGCATTTCCTTATTCCGTTTATTTTATTATTATTATTTGGGACATATGTCTCCTTTTCCCAGCCAGAACATCTCTGAGGCACAGACGTCTCTTCTCCTGTATCCCCCCATGGTATCCATCCCCACCTCCCAGAGTTTGTATTAGATATGAAAGAAATGGCTGGCTGATTTCTGATGAAAGTAGCACAAGGCCATTCCTGGTTTTTTGTTGATTCAGGTGTACCTGGAGTAAATCTTGATTGTCCCTGGATGATTTAAGCCTTCCTTGCATCTGTTGGTAGTTAAAGCCATTGACTGTCCTGGTGAGCCCTGTCTTCACAAATCAGCTGCAGATTCCAGCACGAAGCCAACCTTGGGCTTGAGTCCAACATCTTCAGAGCTGCCAGCCACTTTCACACAGGGAATGATCCAGCTCAAGGGATCCGGTGGTATTCTCTGAACTCATTTGTTCTCCTTGGTGTGTTATTACAGCTTAAAGCATCACCATTCATTCTGCAGGTCAGGGTTGATCCAGCTGGGTCATGACCTAACCAGCGGACCCTACCCGCCATCTTGCCAGCCGTGATAAATTCTTCCAATGGTTGCCCTTACGTAAGATCACTGAAAACCATGTCTTCATGGTAGCATGCCTGCCTTTGTCTTTGAAGGTTGCAAACATGTCCATCATATGACTAATGAAAACTCGGATGTGCCTAGAGTTGCAGGAATGGCTGGTTACGAAGGACACTGTAGCTTTGGAAGTCCTCTTGAGCATTCCCTCACTCTCCCTCTGTGAGCAGCCGTTCTCCGTGGATGCCAGGTCACATACAGTTATTTCCCATGTGCATTGGTGCTCTCGAGGGGGTTGCTCTGGAGGTGTTAGAACATACATCTCTGTGTCCAACCCAGTGCCTTCACCTGTTTGTCATATGGGAAATCCTACGCTTTGGCTGAAGCTAGGTTTTTTTTAAAGGCATCCCCAACATGTCAAACCTTTCAAAATGCCTGAATCAGCATGGAGGACTGGCATGGGCCCCCTGATTCTAGGGAGGGATGTGAACATCCCTTCACACCGGATGTGAAGTCCGGTAACAGGCCTTTTTGTTCTGAGATGCTGAGGGCAGTTGGAATGAGTGATGATGGTCTGATGGTCCTCTTCCCACAGATCCTAACTGGGCCAGTTTGAACTTGGGAGCCCTCATGTGCATCGAGTGCTCAGGGATCCACCGGAACCTGGGCACCCACCTTTCTCGAGTCCGGTCTCTGGACCTCGACGACTGGCCCATCGAGCTTATTAAGGTGATGTCATCCATTGGGAACGAGCTGGCCAACAGCGTCTGGGAAGAGAGCAGCCAGGGGCGGACGAAGCCCTCACTGGACTCCACAAGGTAGGGACGTGGGCAGCTGTGTGGCTCTGGGTCCTTCTGCCAGCAGTTCAGCCTCGGGAAGTGACCTTCATGACAGCCTCCCCACAGCCACCCTGGCGACCTGTAGGAATGCTGAGGAGCCGGGCCAAGGAAACGTCTGTTTTTAAAATTGGTTTTCAGCAGGCATGGATAATTCAGACTCCTTAATTTTTTATGTTTGTTTTTAGACCTTGGGGATTCCTCTCCCCCTCTTAGAAATGTATTAAGCTTCCAACCTTATGAATATATCACTTTAATTAATACATTTCTAATAGGAGTAAGCTGTGCTGTGAACACTAATTATGAATTTTTGATTCTTTAATTTTGTGATTCTTCTGTCTTTGATAAGCATCTCCTCAGTTGGTTTCCCTCCCCACCCCCACAGACCCACAGCAAGCCAGTTTACAGTAGTAACACAATATATTTTATTTTCTAAAATATATTTCCAACACAGTTAATCAGCCAAGTATGGCGTAACGTATGGTGACTCCTCATTAACGTTAATTGTTACCCAGTGTAAAAAACGCATTTATTTTGAGCCCATTTATTTTCTCATTTTTCATTTACAGCTATTATAAACCGTTTTTGAGTACACATACATATTTAATGTACCTAAGAGGTGATAAAATGGCATGTCTTCCAAGAAAGCCTGCTTCACAGAGGCAGAGTGGGCCATTGGGTCCCTGCAGCTGCCCCCAGGAGGAGGCGCTCATGGTCGCATCCCCCACTTCCTGGGGGTGGTGGTGGCAGTACTCACTTTACGCTTTTACTTCTCCTGTGTGTGTGTGTGTGTGTGTGTGTGTGTGTAGAGGTGAAGGGAGAGAAGGTCATTAGCACCTTTTAAATTCCTCTGGCTTGTTTTGCTGGTGATGAGACAGCGTGAGAATCCACACAGCCATCTGCGGTCGGGCCCCACGTGATGCCTAAGAAGTCGGTTTCGTCCACTAAGCCATGATCCTGTGTGAGGAGTCAGTGGATTTTTTTTCATGAATGTTGAAAAATGAATTTGTGGTGCCCCCTTTGGTTCACTTTAGAGAATGAAGTTGGTGTGTTAGGAACCTACTCTTCTCGTACAGTGTCCTGTGGGGCAGGGGCAAGGGGAGCAGGAGCGCCCAGAGCCAGCCTGGCATCGCCTCCATTTGCTGGGTGAGCTCGACCACGCAGTACCCATGTAGGCAGCTTTCCTGCAAACTGAAGGAACGATAGGCTCCTTTAAACTCTTGATCTTGATCAAGAACATAGGAATTAACCATCAGTGAGGAGCATTCTTAAAAGACGAATTTGCGTATTAATATCTGTTTTTTCATAGATGTAGTTTCCTCAGAGGACATGTAGGCCTAACAATGAAATAAGATTAGAAATTGGATCAAGTTTCATGTAGGAGTGCAGAGAACTTTGAAATTGTTAGGAAAAACAATTACTCCTGCATCTTACTGTTTTATGTGTAAAAGAAGCATATATATTATTTTTAGTGTCCAGAATTGGGCAAAAGTTTGTTTTTCCATCTGTCATAATTAGCCACCATTTAGAGTGTTTAGGCAACCAAGACAGGTGTTGATATTTTTAACTGGTAAATATTTTATAAGAATCTCATCTTCATTCCTAAGTGAGGGTTTTGTACGTGCAGGCACTTGACTCTTCTAACCTGTGTATTTGATCTGAGCTCTTGAGTGCATGACTTCCTCTTCTCTCCAGCATTATCAGGGGCTTCCTTTCCCACAAATGGGGTGATCACAGCAAAGTCCCAGCTCTCCGTGGGTCCCATTCGCTGTCCTAAGGGGCTGTCCCAAGTGGCAGTGCTCCCCCCTCCCCCCACCCCACCACCACCCCCCGCAAAGGCTGTGGTGACAGTGATGCTGGGTTACACGGCAGTTCCAAAGAACATGAACCTCTTTGAGAACTGAATGTTTCCTTGTGTCTTAGTTATTCTGTCTGGCAGTTTCGTTTTTAAATTAATATTCAGCAAATAGTCACTGAGCACTTTCTCATAGAAAAGAAGTAATACGTGGTGATTATTGCCCCACAGCAATTGATGAATGTTGATGAATGTTCTCGGGGCCACAGCTGAGGGTGCCAGGACTCGAGAATTCATGCATGGGAAGTTCTTAAAACCACTGTGCTCCGGGGAGGTGTCACTGGCCAAACAATGTCTGAGCTGGACTGGACTTGAATATGTGGGGCAATGTCTAGGCCTGGGCAGTGTGGCGTGCAGGGGTGGGCGTGGCCCAGGCCAAGTCCGGCCCACAGGAGAGTGTAGAAACTGGGGAGTCACCAGCCATGGCGTGGGACCTCCAGGTAAATGAGGAGGGGTAGGGGCTGGTAAGGCCAAAAGAGAGCAAAGGCCTGGCTGAGCCTTTGAGCCAGGGGTGTAATATAATAGTGACTCTGGGGTTTGTGTGTTCACGTGTGATCCGCCTGTTCCCAAGAGGACTAGAGGCAGCCAGCAGCATTGCTGGAAGGGATAAGATGAGGCAGGGAGGCCCATTGGAAGGCTGTGGTCCTGGTGGAGCCTATGAAAGCCATAAATGCTCTGTCAAAAATATAAAGAAGCAACTCAGCTTAATAGCACAGCAATAATTCAGAAACCCACCATCTTCACTACCTCATGCAGTCTCCTCGAACAGAAATGAAGAACTCCAAAGTTTGGGCTAGAATTTCCGTGTGGAATTCAGTCTGCAATGTGAGAATGGACAGGCAGCCTGGATCCTGCCTCTCTGAGACAGGGACAGACGCCCCCCTCCCAACCACTCCCTCTGGTCTCTCTGCAGAATCTAGGATTGTTAGTACAAACAGCTGGAGGGGTCTTTTAATGTGGCCCTAAGGTAATACTAAAAAGAAATATTTTAATAAATTTTTATTTCTATCCAAGGAAGGGCCAGGTGCCATATATCTAGGCTAATTCTTTGGAAAAGGGCCCAGCTGTTTTCCCGAGAAGCTCAGTCCGTTCCATCTTGTGCGGGAGATTTGTTCTGACAGTGGCACATAATTAGAAATGTGCCGTTCCTCCCAAACACACACACACAACCATGGAGAGGTTCAACACAGCGATCCTCCTCCAAAGAAACATCCAGTCTCCTGAAACCACCTCTCATTGGTGTCACCCAGGCCCGCGGGTGAGTTAGGAAAACAGGCGCCTTTGACCAGCTGGCTGGCCTTCTGCTTGTTGTTCCTGCACCCCTGATTAGGGCAGCTTCGGACGGCTCATAATGGGTTCCAGTGATTCTCAGCGGCCCTGAGAACTGCCGTTCAAACTTGAGCAGCGTCATGATCAATCGAAGCTGACGGCAGTGAAGCAGTATTGACTTCCCATTCCTAAACCGGGGAATCATTAGTCAAGAAAAGCATCTTTTAATTACTCCCAGGAAGAAAAAAAAAATCTTTTTGGATGGATTCTGCAACAACTGCCATTTTTTTCCAGTGCATTCGATATTAAATTTATTGTCGCAGGAGGGGAGAGGATGCCCTTCATCCCCCGTCAGTGATGGAGGTTTATTCAGAGAAAGGAGCCTGGTAGAGGATATCGATGGTACAACAGTTAACTACAGCTGGGGTGGAATCAGAATCCCCCTCTCTAATTGCTATTGATGCCATTTAAGCACACACTTAAAATATTGATTTTAAATGGGCATGCTGAAGCAGGAGAGCCGTGGTGACAGCGGACGGGATTTGCTAGATCCTAGGGGCTAACACAGGGGCAGTGGGCTGTGTGTGGGGGTGGGGGGGCGAGGGCTTCATGATACATAGCACATGAGTGTGCAGGGGCTTCATGACACGTAGCACACGAGTGTGCTGGTCACTCCGTGCAGTGTGTTGTGTGCATTTGGACGTGGGGCCTGGAGCAACCAGGCAGGGCCCTGGCTCCCACATTAGGACACGTGGAACCATCGGGCCAAGTCCCCAAGCTCGCTGTGGCCCCTTTCACATCAAGGAGTAGTGCACTCAGAAGCAGAGACAGCCAAACTGTGAAGAGCATGTTTCTTGAGCGAGTGAACGAATGAGTGAGCGGATGGGGGGACACAGGAATGGGGCCGCGTGGAACCCACATGCCAGGTGCTCCTGCTGCCTCAGGGCCGGGGGTTGCTCGCTTGTTCGTGCATGAAATCGGGGCTGCGCATTTGCAGCACACCGTGAAGTTGTCTGGGCAAACCTCAGATCTCTTTCCCTCCTCAGCCCCGTGGGGCTGTTTGGAGGGCTACTCTCTGTGTCACTGTGGTGCATTGTTCTCCATTCCTGTCGCTGTTTCACTTTGGAATCTTTTAGGATTGCCTGTGGTGACCCTAATTTCCTCCCAGGACCGAGTGGAGCCCTCCGGTCCGTGTTCCTCTTGGCAGAAGCCAGACCGTACTCGGCCACCTACTTCGTCTTCCCCTCTCCCACCTTTAGGTCTCCATGTATAGGCATCGGGTCCGTAAGGGTCTGCAGGGATCCCTCGCGGCTGGCGTTTCAGGGCAGGTAGCCTATTTACACGGTGGTCTGGGAGCCAGCCGATTTGGTCTCAGAAATCAAAGGAGCCTGGACGTGTGTTTTCCATTCTGTCAAAGAGCCCTTGGGAGGAGCTCTCAACCCCACCGAAATCCCCCTTCCTTCTGATCCCACTTGGAAGGGAGCCGAGTTGCTGATTTAGGATACACTCTTCTGCCTCTTTGAGCGTTCTTTTTCTTTCTGTCATTGTCACCTGCACATTCAAACTCCCCTCTTGTCTTTAACCTATAAAAAGATGCCACCTTCGGGAGGAAGATTTGGGGCCGGACGTCAGAAATCTGCGTGGGAGAGACTGGCCGCACACTTCCAGATGGAGCAAGTCTGCCCAGTGACACGAGTTCCGGTCCTTTTTGATTCGGGATCGCCACTTTCATCTTATTTATGCACATGGAGATATTGATAAAGGGGAAATGTATCCAAACTGAAAATAATTGGATCCCTACCGTTAACTCTGAGATATTAAAAGCAGTACCACTTGGCCACGTCTTTGTCTCGTTAGG